CATCAAACTTCATTTAAATAAACACACTCTAAACAAATCAAACTTCATTTAAATAAACACACTGAAATAAAATATTTGGTGTAATAAATCTTCTTAATTATAAGTGTCTTTATCTAAAATTAGAACTGTCACTTTTTTTTAAGCCCTGAGGCTGACCCTGGTCTCTTTTATGCTTAGCCCATTTTTATTGACCCACATCTTAGGGGCTTTTTTAAAGCCCCTAGTCCCAAAACCCCATCAGATGGGGGCTTATGCCTTCTCAAATGCCAGCAGTTTGCTGCCTCGCGGAGAGCTGGCGGGCGCTATGGGAGCGTTCTTTTTGGAAGCGACGGAAGAGTCAACGTCGAGGACGGTGAAGGAAGGCGGAGAGGCGAAGTGGGAGTTGTTGATGAGGCAAGGGAGAGGGAGGGAGCGGAGGCGTTGGATTTCGGTGAGAGTTTATGATGTTTTGGGGTTAGGGGGCTAACCTGACCCTAATTCATTCACAGCCCTATCTGATGGGGTTTTGGGCTTTAAAAAAGCCCCCTAAGATGGGTCAATAAAAATGGGCTAAGTATAAAAGAGGCCAGAGTCAGCCTTAGAGCTTATAAAAAAACTGACAGCTCTATATAATACAAAGTAGTTGATAATTAAGTTCTTTCTAAAAGTCAATTTGAAAAAAATGGGTGTTACGATATGTTTCAAATAATTTTGTAATATTCATGTTACAGGTCCTTAGTTTCGTTTTTCTACTAGGTATGTAGGGTTAGAGAATTATCAGAAATTATACATAAAATTTTGTAAAAAAGAAAAGCCTAACCCATAGGACTTGGGAGTATTTAGTCCTCTGGACTTTTTTAAGAAAGGATTTTTTTTGTCCCAACCCATATGTATTAGGCCAAATCCCATTATGTGAGCTTGTTTGATAGTTCTATCTATAATATATACAGAAAATTCTCTTATTTTACTTCTTAAATTATTATTTTTTTATCTTACGTAATATTTTTAATTACAATGAAAAACTGGTAATAACAAACGTCAATGTAAAAATAAATTAAAGAACCAACAAAAAACTAAAATACAGTTGAAAGAATGTCCTACATGGATTAAAAAACAGAGTAACTTCTCATATTCTACTTGATAAGATTAGGCTATAATGATTTAGGATTTTTATTTCATAAAATCAAACCTTTTATTACAACATAATTTTAATATAATGTATAATAAATAATATATTTAATTATCTCATTTTTCATTGAATATAAATTTATATAAAATAGAAAAGAATAATATATGTTTTAATTTATAAATTATTAAAATAATTCTGATACATCATACTATAAAATGTTTAAAGAATAATTATAATGTATTATTCAAAAATATATATAATTCTTCATATGAAAAATTTCAATTTACAAGAAAACATTATAATTAACAAAGATCTGAATCTTTCAATTCACAAGAAAACATTATAATTAACAAAGACCAAGACTAATATAACTTTGAAGTTTTGTCGAAATTATAAGAAAAATACATAAATAAACACCAAATTTCACAGTATCTTCACTCCATTCAGAAATGAGCTGTTTTTAATACAAGCCCACCATAATAAGAATTATTGTTCATTAATTTTATATTTTGGCCTTTTCAGTTATCTTTTTATCAATTAATTTCAAACTTTGATATGATAAGATAAAATAACCACATATTAAAGAGAATAAAAGAATGCATATATGACAATATATATTAAGTTGAATAGATTTATATCTATAGATATTAATTCTTTTTTTTTTTTGGATTATATCAATTCAAAGAAAATGTATATACAAAACACTTAAGTTCTAACTGAATTTTCTTTTTCTTGGAAATAAATTGAAAAGCTTTATACGTGTTTACTACAACCCTATTTGGTACATATCCAGGATTTCTCCCCCAAAGAAAATCTTTTACTACATAAATTGAAGTCTATTACAAGGATTTTTACAATTTAACAAGAAAAAATAAATTACAACAGTTTCGGCCAGATCCATAAAAAATCACCTGGTTCCAGGTTTTGGGAGAAGATGCGCAGCCAAAAAGTAACTTTAGTGGGTGATGTAACTAAGGTGATGGAGCTTCATCATCTGAAGAGGTATTGTTATTATTATTATATTGGTGGCTCTCATGTAAACCAGGAAGGGGTTGTGGAAGCATTGGATTAACTGGCACAGGGAATTTATGAGCTGAACTAACCATGGTTCTCTCATTTATCATTCCAACTTCTTTGCAGACACGGTCAAGAACTGCTAGAAAGTCTCTTACAACCATGAAGAGCCTGAATGGATGAGCTTCTTCTTTTGACAAGTTCCCATGAAAATACTCTGTAATCTCCTTCACAAGGGAGGAAGCAACACTTTCTTGGGCTTGAATTTTTGGAATTTCTTCCTCAGCCATTCTGATGAATTTCTTCACTGATTCAGTAAAATTCTGACTGCTTTCATCTGACCCCATTGTTTGGTTTAACCGCACAACCTCTGCTATGTTTGCAATTCCTTTGGAAAGCTTTAACACATCACTGCTGAGAACTTCGGAATCCATAGTAGCAGCCTTCTTCACATTTGATAGCTCTGAACTCAGGCTTGATACAACTTGTAGACCAAGCCTCCTACACTTGACATCTTCGTTCAAAGTAGTAGAGCTTGGAGTTTGATTAGTGTCAAAGAGACGTGCACCTTCGGTTCGAATTATTTCTTGTACAACAAAATGCAGTAGAGTGGTTTTTCCATCTGCGCCTTTGACATCAGCCAGCTTCAGAAGAGTATCAAGTTTGAATGCCTCTGCATCCCCACGGTTGGTCCCCACGTTCATGCGGTTCCCAGTTTTAAGTACAGCCTCCAACAGCTTCAAGAACATTCTAGAATGTCGCAGCTCTTCACAGGCAGCCTGGAAAAACACCGATCAGAACATGAAGACCATAACATAATCCAATGTAAACTTTCTAAGTATACTCGGAACATAACTGAATTCTTCTTGGCCTCTTATGAACAAACTATATTGAAATAAATAACAAATTGTAAACATATTTTGCTGGAATTGACATTTCAAATTAGAGTTGTTGAAGTACACTCTATATATATGTGCATCAAATTCTAGGTTCCTACCAACAAAGACTCGTATCAAATTCAGAACAAGAATGTCCTAAGATACTCCTGAAGAAATGAATAATCAGTGTGAGATTGATTACCTCTAGTGTTTGAAAGGATGTCCTAAGATAATCCACTTCAGACTCAAAACTGGCTATGAAAAGCATTGCCTCAATCCTTTTAAATGCGAAAGGTACATCAAGCACTGCCTTCAAAAATTTCTCAGCAAGACCAAGCTTGGTTGGTGAGTCATCTTTATGTTCCCTCAACTTACGTTCTTCTTCCTTGCTTGGTGCCATTCTTAACAAGCTTTCGAGTAATTCTGTTCCAAGTGTATCAGTAGTACCTGTAGAGAGATGCATTGAATTAGGTGCATCATCAGTACACAAGTACATAATCGAAAGTGGTGATTAGAATTATGTTCAATTAAGCAAACTAATCCTTCTGTTGTCCATTTTTATCATTACAAATCCATTATTAGGAAAAGGCGGCTGGCAAATGCTCTTGATAATGAATTGACTACTGAAATTATTCTCTTCAGGGTTAATTTAATGGGTCCGATATATCAATCAATATCTATCGGCCTACCAAAAAAAACTACAGAAAACTATGTCATAACTGAAGGGGTGATGAGAAAATATACCTTGTAAAAGTGCTTCACACACTTCTTCTAAAGTGACGTTAAGCGCTTTCAGCAAGATACAAATATTTTGAGACTTTTTAGGATCGAGTACTCTTTCCTCCTGATTTGGCAGGTGAGAAATAGAGTTTGTAGTTGCATCCTTGGCCTTAGGGTTTGGTGTGTTCACTACAAACAACGTTTCAATCATTTTCTCATTCAATCTGCAGCCAACCCAATTCAATGTTACTCAATTCAAGAAAACCAATTGCAACATAAACAACAATTATCAACCACTAAATGTCATCCACACAACCAGGTAAGGGAATTAAGAAATTTTAAAACGAAACAGAATCTTGAAATCTTCGCATCCAATTTGGGTAAAATAGCAAACTGAAATAAAGAACTAGAAGGCTAAAAATCTAACAACCGTTAGAGTTGGAAGCTTACTTAAACGAACTGGACTTCATCTGATCCCACACCATTTCACGTTCAGAGCTTGTTCTCACTTTGTCCCAATGCAGGGCCTTCAGTTTTGGTTTACCAGTCTCTTCAATTTCCCTCAAACTCACCGGCAACTCAACATTGGTTGCTTGGTTTTGCAACACAAAAGGCCTCGAAGGAGGCACCAATTCTGGTGGCCTTGACACCGGTTGACCAACCGGTGTTGACGGACCCGGCGCTGGAACTCCCCACTGCTTCCGCTGCCGTGGCAACGGCGGTGGTGGTGGCGGAGCAGGGCCTGGAATCTCCCAGTGCTTCCTCTGTGGCAAAGGTGGAGGACCTGGAACGGTTCCAATTTCATCAAACGGTGTTGTTATTGGCATTGACAGTGCTGGAATGCTCCAGTGTTTTCTCTGCGCACCAAAAGAACCTGTTCTCAATTCACTGAAAGCTCCTCTTTCGGTTTCCGGCGATGAAAGCAGGGCGGGTGATAAAGGAACCGATGACAAGCCAGGTAACATCAGTCCGTCGGAAACACTCGACATTCTCGGAGACTGATCGAAAGTATGATGACGTGTCACCTTCTCCGGCGAAGAGGGAAGAGAAAAAGCGGAAGACGAAGAAGCATCAGATAATCTCGGTGGTGGAGATGAGGGTAATGTATTTTCATTTTTCTCCAACGTTCCCTCATGCGATGATGATGGTGCTGCATGTGCATGTACACATGCACTTAACACCTCGTTATCACGTTCAGCAAAAACCCTATCTGGTGTTGAGCACATCGAAGAAGAAGAATGCACGTGCTGGTGGTTGTAATTTTCCGGTGATTTCGGCAGCGTGTTCCGATAACCCGAACTCGCCGGCGGCGGCATGTTCAGGACAGACCTTTCCGGCGATCCCGAAGAAGAGGAAGAACACGAGCTAGAGGTCACGCTTCGATCGACGGCGAACACTCGCCTGGAAACTGATCCGGTTCCACCGGAGCCTCCCAACGACGAACCTCTCGGCGAGTAAAATTCGTCTTCGTCCTCCTCCGCTGTCGTGAAACCCGCCTCGTCGCGGGGTGGAGGAGGAGGCGGAACTGAAGCCTGTCGCGCGAGCGGCGGAAGTGGCCGGAGCTCCGGGGATTCCATTTTCCGGTCTCCGTCGCCAACGTCGGCGTCCTCGATCATGTGAGAGTTCGCGACAGTGCCGAGGTAGAGAAACTCGGAGCTTGTGGAGGACGTGTGCCGGAGCTTGCGTGTTTCGACGGAAGTTTCGGCATTGCGGCGGAGTGGGAGGAGGTCAGTGTTGGAACGGAGAACTTTGCCTGCTGGGGAGGGGGGAGGGTTCCGTCGGCGGCGGTAACAGACGAAGGCAGAGATAGAGACGGCGAGTGCGGCAGCGACAACGGCTGCGAGAGCGACGGGAAGAAGTTTGTTGGGGGAGGAATTGGGTTTTGGGGAGTGAGGGAGAATGAGGGAGGAGATATTGGCAGGAAAGGAGGCAAAGGTGATCGGAGAAGGAGGAGGAGGAGAAGAGGGGTATAACGGGAAAAATGGTGATTGTGTTGTTAATGGGGTTGGTGTTGTGGTTGTAGTGGTTGTTGGTACTGGTGTGGAGGAAATGGTGGTGGTGGGGATGATGGATGATGAAGGGTATTTGGGTTTTGGTTTTGAGGTTGAAGGAGAAGGATGAGGAGGTGGTGGTTTTGGTGGTTCAGAAGGAGGAAGAGAGGTCAAAGGAATAAAGGGTTCATGGAGGACCCTTCTGTTGAACAACAAGAGTTGTGAAGAAGACAATGCACATGACAAAAACAGCAACAACAAGAAGAAAGAGGAGGACGCTTGCATTCTGTGATTCTGTGTGTTGTGGTTGTTGTGTGAAGTGAATGGTGAGTGAGAGAGAGAGAGAAAGTAAGATATGTAGTAATGGCAGTGGGGGACTTTTGGTGCAGAGAAGAAAAGAAGAGTGTGTGAAAAGGTTGAATTTATGAAGAGATGAAAAGAGTGTTGCATACAGCTAAGATTCTCTTGGTGGTTCTTCTGTTTCACTACTTGAAGGTTTTGCATTTGCATTTGCACTGTTCCATACTCTATGCAAATGCAACTTCTTCAAAGTGTGGTTGGATTGGGGGGTTTAACTTGAGTGCATGCCACTACAACACAACCCAATCATTGTTTCACCTTTCTCTTTGTCTTTTTTTTTCTATCTTTTTCTTTCCTTTTCACCTTTTGACATTTTTGGTTAATTGGTACATGGGAACAGAGTGACAGGCCACGTTGATGAATATTTTTGCAGGTATTTTTGGTATGCAACATTCAAAATTATCCCCACAATCTACTCAGTATCTCTTACTTTCAATATGAAGACAACCAAAAGCAGTTTTCTAATCTTGAAATTAGTAGCTTTTAGAATGAGTGTTGGGTAGTGTAGAACACAAACAAATATTAGGTATGTACTTAATGCTACACTGGAAATTTAATATATCTAAAATTTTATGATTAGATTTTACATTTTTAATCTAAAATAAACAAGAACAGTTTAAGTCATCAGATTATGACCTAAAGGGTTGTTCATTAATTGCTCCCTTCATTTAAAAATAAAATAAGAAATACGATGATGGATAAAGTTAAAGGAAGGTTCCATCATATTTTAATGGTCTTGTTTTGGTACGTGTAAATTAGTATCGTGAATTCAAGCGTTAGAATCTCTACAAACATGTTGAATACGGAAACGAAAATCCAGTAACACGATAATTGATGTTAGTTTTAAAATGGTTATCATAATGGTAATGCAGGGATTATATTAAGAAAGAGAAATGAAATGTGTGAAATTGTAATTTGATTTGACATGGTTGGTTGGTCATATCTCGAAAAACTTGGACTTTCGGTGTTTCTCTGACGCGGCGCATGAATTAAATAAATCTACGCTCCTTAAAAAGAATAGATGGAGGAACAGTTTCTGGTTTGACAAAAAGACAAGGAAAAGAGCCAAAAATATACAAACTTCCCTAAAGTCCGGGGAAACATGTTTCATTAACCATGATAAGGATAGTGCGGTGAAAACTTATGATTTTAAAATAACCATTTTTTTCACTATTTTTCATTACTGGTCTGAGGAAGTAAAGTTTTGAGGCAGTGTGGAGCTAACCAAATGATTAATATTATAAAGTGGCAATTAAAAGTTGGAGTATTTTAATAGGAAGTTTGAAAGAAGGTCATAAAAAGGTAATATTAACATCTTTTAAGAAAGCTTTGGTCCCTTTATTTTTCCTTTAAACAATGAAAATCTAATCAAACAAAATGCGTGTGGATTATAGTGTTTTCTTTTTACATGTGGGGTAGCAGTAATCGTACCTCGTTCTTGTGTGAAGACCAATAACCTTGTGCTATGTTCACCCTTTTGCTTCAAGCTTTAAACACAAGGTGGAAAAAAGATTACCTACTGTTGAAAGTTGCCTCGTCCTATGAAGATAACGACATAGAGGAATGAATGTTGTAAAGCACAGAATATACAGAGTAAAACGTCTTTTCTCTTACTGGTAAAATCCATTTCTGTTTAATTATAATTAAGGATATCTTTCACAAATTTTTAAATCAGTCCTTTTAAGGGGAAAAATGTGAAGAAAAATATATAAGCATCTTCATATATTAAAATTAAGTTGCACACAAGTTAGAAATGAAAGTTGAAAAACTACATAAGAAACTTATACGTTAGTTATTTTAACTCAAAAATTTAATTTTTTTCACTTATAGAATAAAATTATGGAAAAAATTCATTCAAACAATTACATGTAATCATTATAGCCAATATAAGTAATATATTAACCAACCTCTATATCAAAACGTTTAAAACGGAATAGCAATTGATTAAAATAGAGAGGAGAATTCATATAATTAAATACATCGCATTAGTCCCATAAACCGTTTTCTATATATTAGTATTTCTGCCATACAGATGTCAGTGCAACAAAACTATTGTGGCTTTGATGGAGTTGGAGATGATGGTGGCTTCAAATCCGGGTACTGCAAAAGGGAAAGAAAAAAATGATGAGAATTTTTATTTATAAGACATAAAATGTAAAAGAATAGTAGTACACACACTTCACAAGTATTGACGTTTACAGTGGCTCTGTTTCATGTTTTCAAATAATGCAAGCAAATATGTTGATAACAAATGTACTGACAAAGTTGGAATCACTATAGTGTATTCTCCAATGGACCTTTCCATCAGAAGTCACCTAAATCAAGTTCATTCTTAAATTTACATATTGACACCACCAACTGAGGTACAAAATGTTCTGTGCATGTGATTATTTGAGATACAATTTCTATAAATATTCAACACTTGAATGTAACGTACGATTTCTCATTATTTAAAAATATTGCATAACTGTTAACTAGATAGTCATAACTTCCGCAGCTTGAAAGTGGTTGTGAACTTGAATCAGAATAGAAAGAAAATTGAAGAACGGATCAAAAGCACGCAAATGATTCCTCTTTTATTTTTATAGCCAGTAAGATTGCTATAATTGATATGATATCAAACCATCAGATTTACAGTGTTCTTTCCAACTATCATATGCACCCATATGCTCAGAACTGGCTTGGAACTTTTGTATTTCCTTTGTAAATATCTAACACAATTTTTAGACGGTTGGGTAGGGTACTCTGAAATTTGAATTATGACCTTAAATGATAAATAAAGTTGCTGCCACTGCCATAATACCAGTGAGTTGTAGCATAACCGGGTGCAGCTTAAAGGTAAAAAGAACAGGTCAATAAGTTACTCCATCATTACTACCAAAATCAGGGTGGTAAAAGCATGGTTGGAATCCTAGAGGAGTACGAAAAGGCCCATCAAGAGAATCACTTCCTAGGATTCTTTTAAATTCCTGGAAGGAGGGTATTCACTAGTCGATTAGCCTCAAGACACCAGGAGAAACTTCATCAATTCTGTGTCTTTTAAGTTATTCATATCTGTTTTGTTTTGATTTTTTTTTACATTCCTCAATAGCCCACGTGGTTTTGTTTAATGTAAATAGAGGATATGCTAGTATTTGACAGAATGCGCAGGAGAAAAATTCACATTATCATTGAAGAGATTAGAATGATACAAAGCGGAAGCAATACAGGGTTTATATACAAATCAAAGAATGGTAAAGCTAACTCTAACAGTGACAACTGAAAAACAAAACAAGATATCTGTTAGGTTTCATATAAAGAAACCTAATCGATATCCCTCTCAACACACAAGAACAGCCAAAAATACTGTATAACCTCCGAAATATTATTGAACAGAGAAAGAATACAAGAAGAGTCAAAGTATGGGAGCCTAACCTCCCCCAACAGGAAATAACTATCCTGTTCAGACAAACAATAACGAATCCAAAAGCCCTCTCTCCAACTACCAAACTCCTATTTATACAATAACATTCCCGCCCCTTATCTAACTGTAAAACAGTTAGATAACTAACGTTTCTTTCTTCTCTCATACACCAATAACCTCCTATCATTACTCCCCCCCTTTTCAGCAACCTTGTCCCCAAGGTTGAACTCAGGATATTGATCCTGAATAGTTGCTACATCTTCCCATGTAGCTCCCTCCTTACCTCCTTGCTGCCACTCGATCAAAACTTGATGTAATACCTCCCCTGCTTGTTGTATTTGCCTCTGATCCAGTACACGTATGGGCCAGAAGTTCGGTCCCTCAACTTGTAACTCCTCAGGCAACTCCTTTTCTACCCTTTTGTCCCCCACCGCTTTCTTTAATTGTGAAACGTGGAACACCGAGTGAATTCTGGCTGTTTCTGGTAGCTTTAGCCTAAATGCCACTTGTCCCACTTGTTGTAACACTTGAAAAGGGCCAAAGTATCTCGCCGATAGCTTCGGATGTAAGTAATCGGGTGGGCATAGAGACTTGTCGGTGCGGTCTAATTTTTAGATAGACCCAATCATCTACTTTTATGTCTACCACTCTTCTTTTCTTATTGGCCTGCTGCTTCATTAAATCTTGGGCCCTACTCAAGTGAAATCGCAGCTGCTTAAGAGCTTCGTCCCGTGTCATCAGATCCTGCGCCACGGCTTCCACAGGGGTTTCCCCTGGAACAAATCTACTAAATGATGGAGGACTTCTTCCATATACCGTTTCGAATGGTGTGCATCTTGCAGACCCCTGGTAGCTGGTGTTGTACCAGAATTCTGCCCAGGGTAAGACACCATACCAGTTCTTCGGCTGTTCAGAACAAAAACAGCGTAAGTATCCTTCAATAATCCTATTAACCACCTCTGTTTGACCATCCGTTTCCGGATGATAAGCAGTACTCATTTTAAGTTGAGTACCTTGTGCCTTGAATATCTCTTTCCAAAATATGCTCAAGAACAATGGGTCCCGGTCACTGACAATGGAAACTGGGATACCATGTAGTTTAATAACCTCCCTTGTAAATATTTCAGCCACGGTTTTAGCAGAGAAAGGGTGTTTGAGAGCTATAAAATGGGCATATTTGCTCAATCTATCCACAACCACCAAGATAGCATCATGTCCCTGCGACTTGGGCAGCTTTACAATAAAATCTAAACTTATCTCTTCCCAAACTGCTTGAGGTATGGGCAACGGCTGTAATAACCCCTGAGGCGACGCAGCCAAATATTTATGCTGCTGACAAACGGCACAGCTAGCAACATACTCAGTTATCATCTTCTTCATCCCTAACCAATACAAAGATTGTGCTATCCTCCTGTACGTCCTATATACCCCTGAGTGCCCTCCTGTTTTGGTTTCGTGAAATTCAGCAAGCAGCTTTGGAATCCATATCGACCCCGCGGACAACACCAGTCTCCCTTTATAATGTAATCTATCATTCTCCAAGGTGTATGGTGCATGTGAGTTAGGATCCCACAGTAAGTCAGCTATCAGCTTCCGTAATGTCTCGTCCTCCTCTACCTCCCTCAAAAGGTCTTGAAAATATGGCCAGAATAACCTGGATATTGCCTGTAACTCCTTCTCCTCCGTCTCCCCCTCTACTCTCCTGGACAGTGCATCTGC